AACCTTTTCGATAAAGCTTTTCATTTATAAAAAAAAAGGATGTGATCTCATATTAAAATCAAAAAGAATATTTGTAAAAATAAAGTGTGATATGTTTTTTCTATTCGATTCAAAATTACTTTTATGTTTTTATGACTTGATTCATTAAGTAAAACAAATATGGTTTTATTCAAATCCTGTCAATTGCATATATTACGTTATCTTCTATTAACAGATTAACATGACATTTGGACCATTCAATAACACCAATATGTCAGATTCCAAAACAAATATTTTTAAAAAGGTTTAGTATTTATATAACTTTTTAATTTTTAGAGGCATAAAATAACTTTTAAAACAATTTGGATATATCAAAAATACTTTTAACAAGTAGCAACTGTTTTAATCATTGTCTCAAAACTAATTTCAACTAATCTATAACATAACTTTTGGATGGATTTTTAATTTGAATAGTATGAAGGGATGTTTGGCATAGGCTTTAAAAAATTCTACAATTTTTAAAGATAGTTTTTTTCAAACATGATTTAAAGTTTTTATCTATTTTAAAGTCTTAAAAGCTTGTCTTAATTTTTTTGTCTTGTTTTGCTCATTTTTTCTAAAGAGGCGTAAATGAGGTTTTCACCATTACAAAATAAATTTAAAAAAAAATTTATTCTTTTTCTTATTTTCCAAAAGTATTTAAAACTTTTTGTAGATTTATACATAGTTTATTACTAAAAAATTTTGATTGATTAATTATCATCTATTTTTATTTATTCTTATGAGATCCATTTTAAGTATAGTTAAATATATTTTTAATTTTGCTAAAAATAATTAATTTTGCTATTATCTATTATATTCAAAAAAAATTCTTCACTCGAATAATATAATTCATATGTGTCGGAGAAGACTTATATGTGTGTACTTCACATTTAATTTGAAGAATCAAAACTAGAATAACAAAGAAAGTGATTTATATGTTTTTTAAAATTAAATTATTCTTTATAATATGAACATTCTTTTCATAACTAATAAATATAAATAAAATTTGTTTATTTTAGATATTTTAATCTAGGAGACACTTGGTAAAATATTTTCATAATTTATATTTTTAACAAAACGTTATATGTAATTATTAAAATAACAGTTACAGCTTGTATATTTTTTATAATCAATCAAATTTTTACTAATATTTAAAGTAACAGTTATAATATTTACCAAAATTTCTGTAGCAAAAAAATTACAGCAAAAGTTTACAAATAAAAATTTAAAAG